AAAAGATTTCAAAATAATATACAAACAATAATTAAAAGAAAAAAATTAATTATTATAGGCAATATTATTAAAACTTACAATAAAGAAAAATATTATATTTAAGTTTATCAAAATTAAAATATAATTCATATAACAAAGTGACAAATAGTTTGATTAAGTAAATATTTAACCTCTTAGCAATTGTATATAGAAATCTAATTTCAAATACAATTCTAACAAAGATAAAATAGTATAACTTAACTTTAGACAATTCTATTTAACAATTTATCAAAATAATAAATAATTAGATAGCAATATATATAGTATGTAAATTTAAAAAAATAAAATTAAACTTTAATATTTTATTATTATTATTTTGATATTTTTTTCAAGTTTTTTTTATTTAAAAATATAAACTTGATTATTTATATAGATTTTAATATTTTTATTAATGGAAATTATTAGTAATATTCTAATTAATACTATTAATTTAAAAATTTTTAAAGAAAAATTAACTTTAATACCTGTTTTAAATCAAAAAAATTTTTTTTATTTCTTTTGTTTAAATCAATATTATTATTATTTTAATTGTTTTTTTCCTATAATTTATTAGTAGACCATTAAAGTAAAATATTAATTTTTTCTTTGTTTCTTTGTTTAGTTACAGTAAATTATTTCTATAAAATGATTTTTATAAAGATCTTCCTTAATATTTTCTCTAATAATTTTTTCTTTCTAACTTTATATTCATATATAATTTACTAAATTATTTTAAATTTTTCTTTATTATATTTGATCTGATTATTACTTTATATTTAATTCTATTTTCTATTTACTAATTATAAAAATAATAAATTATGATAGAATCGAACTTAAAGTTTTAAATATTAATGCTTAATATGTTATGGCTATTAAGAGTAGTAATATAATTTGAAAAACCAATAAGATTGTGATAAATATCTTTTCTTTCTTTTCGAAGTAGTATTGCGAATTTTGCGTTTTCATGTTTTATTCGAGAAAAAATTTATTCTTCTTTTTGTAAATTAATATCGACAATTACACTAAAATCAAATCATATTTCTTAAATTCAAAGTATAATTGTAAAAATTCTTTATCATTCGATTAATAGTTTGGAATTTTAATTGTGTCAGACTAATATATTTTCGCTTATAGTATTGAATCTGAAAGCGTTGTGACACCTTGGCATCGGATTGTTATGATATATTGTGATATATTGTAACATCGCAAAAAGAGTGAATACCACCTTGTAACAAATAAATAAACAAATAAACATAGATGTCAGACAAGTAGAGGATTCGCAATTTTCTTAAATGCAATCATAGTATGATCCCAAGCGAGACTCCAAGGAAAGATGTGATGACCTGCCGTATTTTTTTCCGATTCACCGATGTCTCGCTAATTTTTTTGATGGACGATAATAATTTGAGATTCTTGGTTTGTTGCTAATGTCATCCTCACTTTTGAATTTTAGCAATTAGAACGCAGAATATTGGAATCATGTCATGTTGCGTAACCGGTATATTGAATTTAAAGGTTATCATTGTCATCCTTTTGTTTAGTAATAATACTCTTTGCTAAAATTTTGTCCATTCAAAGCTGACCAATGAGACAAGACCTTCCACACACTTGTTTGATGCATATAAACAAATGAGACGGGGTAAAGCGGAAACTCCGCAAATCCATTGCAAGTTTATTTCAACCGCGATTGAACTTGTAAAATATTATCGACCGTGGCCTTCTGGAAGAAGTCAATATGACACGAATGAACGCGAAGTGGCCTCGTTCAAATACTTGCAAAAAAAAAAAAAAAAAATCGCGACGATTATAATGATTAAAGTTGGTATATGATCCTGCGTGCAGTGGGCGGTAGTTTCCGATTATAGTTACATGTAAGGGATTTTGGGATGCGTCCGACATTCAGTATGTAATACACTAGCATAAATGGTTTGTTAGAAAGAAGTTGATGCTAGATTTCAATTGGGCGTTATGCTCATTGCTGGATTGCGAATAATTTATCCCGCACACCAATTAAATATTACCTTGCGACATAGAAATTTTCATTCCATCAAATACTAAGAACTCAACAATTCTTTAACACATACGACATACTTCTGGCAATGTAACGTATAATCAATATTTAGATTAGCTGACAAATTCGAAATCTGTCAAATTTTTTTGATCGCAAAAGGGGGACCTCCTATGTCGAAACATTAAAATATTTACGGATCTCTCCAATTTTGGAAAATTGAATCAATCGAGAAAAGAGTCGCTGTTATTGTGGTAATAAGATTGCTGTTAATTGTTTCCTCTTTGGATTTTTTTTTTTTTAGAAAATTTCTGTTTAGCTATGCTATTACGAATTACAAATACCAACGCACCATTAGTGAAAGAAACAAGGTGCAAAATAGAACTAAAACATGACTTAACATTATTGGTTGGTTGAAGTCGAGTCACGAGAAATAAACAATAAATTTTCGTCAAAACGCATCATGGTGCTTAAATATAACATGAACCAATTATAAAAATACCCCCCGTTATTTACAGTATAATAGACAATGAGTCGCCTATAACTCATAGGCTATAAGTGCTGTACAAAAGGCGTGTGAAATTTCTTCTAATAGAACGTTATAAACAAAAGAATGTTGCCTTAATTTGGGGGCCACAGTTATATGTTGAATTTTAATTGATGCCCCTGTCAGCCACGTTTTCATTACTTCATTACTTAATGAATAAATGTGAGACAAAAAAAAAAAAAAAAAAAAAAAAAACCTTCACACCATGTTACGTAATCTTGAGACATGTTAATCATGTGATCTTATTTTAATGATGTCATTATGATAATTATGATACGTGAAGAGCTGTGCGAGTTTATAAAAAAACATTGGCACGTAGGTTTTGACCTCTGTAAATAGAAACAAGAGATTCGAATTCGTCAAGTAGCGTGGGGTTAATCATCTATGCGGGCATTTCCGACATTTCTGTGCTCAGCATTTGTTATTTGGTGCGGAATAAGGTGGGTGTACACAAAAGAATTGACCGAGTTTCTCTTTTAGCAGAACGGAGGATGGGTTCATTCTTGGCCAAAAAAGTCGACATTATGGGCCATATTATTATCATTGTTATTATCTGGCAATGTTCTGTCATTGGGAAAAAGAACGAAATGAATGAAAACGACGATTAATATCCTCGACGAACTTGAATGAATTCTCAAGATCACGTGAATTGGGTGTCCAGAACGGGGAATAAATGGACATGCCATCTACTGTGAGCTGCGTCGGTGTTACAGTACCTGTTCCGTTTCTTCTAGACAACAAAGGCTCCCAATTCTTTCTTAATACTTACCTCTTTCTGAAATCTAAAATTAGCTTTCTTACAAAGGCCAAATCAGTGCATTTCATAGACGCGCAAAAAATATTTTGACAAATTGGGATTCTAAACTCAACACTCAACACTCTGCACGTAATAATACCGTTACTCGGCAATACATTACACATCTCATCTTCAAGTCCACACGAACTTTAACTTGGCAACTTGGCAAACGTAACACCGTTTTAATTTAGAAAATCACTAGTTGCCTAACGGGAATTCTTTAAAGTTTTATAAATGAGACGGAGTCATTGAATTCGGAAATTGTGTCTGGAAAATCGTTTTTGCGCATACGTTTGATTGAGAGAAGAAACTGCCATAAAAAATCTCATTCGTATAATAAACATACTTTTTTTAATTTTCTTGTAACAAGAAAAATTCGGGATTCCGTAAATGCCACTAATTTGTCCGACGCACTCTCACTTCGGACTCGACAGACGCTCCACGAAACATGCATGTACACCGCTCAATCGTCTGATCGACAGAAACCATTTGATGCCCTTTCGTAGATAACAATTGAATATTGAGTTTCTGCATTCTTAATAAATGTCACTTTCCTCCATAGTCTTATCTCAATCTATCTCTTAGACGAATCTTTTGCGTCCAGCAAAGGTTTGGTAGACGATCAGCCGATTGTATCGAGAGCGAACGAACGCAAAGGGGAGGAGCATGCGTCTGAGGGGAATTAAAGTATCGACTTCAATTAATTAATGAATGCATCCGATCAATATTTATAAAGGGAATACTTTTGGATTTTTTTTTTTTTTTTTTTTTTTTTTTTTTTAAATATTTGTAATATTATATAATGAAAAAGACTCGGGGGTCTCATTATATCCCTGTTGGTGTAATTAATGCTTTTATGTTATTAAAGAAAAAAATTCCTTTCCTTTTTTTTTTTTTTTTTTGGGTGCAAATCCTTTAGCATTTATACTATCAATTTTATTTATATTATCCGACTTCACATTGTGTATATGCTTTGTAAATTTTTTAGAATACTGTTTTTTTATCTGTTACACTTTAATTAAACGTAATAAATATCACAAATGCAACTAATGCCAGCACATACATGTATAAAAGGTGAATTGTCTCTCTTTGAAATGATACACATTGGACTTATTGTAGCTTATGAATGATATCATAACAATCGGCGCTATTTTCCGCCGATAGAAAATTACCTTGACAAGTTTTATTTAAATGGTTCATGTCTGAACACAATTTTTTTGGAACTCTGTTTTTTTTTTTTTTTTTACCTCTCTCTCATTACGTTTCTAACAGCAACCAAAAATTTTCCTCTACACAAAAAATTACGAGCGCACCAAATTCTGAGCAAAAATTTCAAAGCGAGAAGTTGAAACCTATTCTTTCTATTTACACTACATTTGTAACAACAAATACTAGATTTATATTCGCTCTCTTTGGTAACTTAATTATCGTGAACTCCGAATTAGGATTCAAAAAAAACGGATGATAAATATTTCTTTCCAGAATTCTTTTATTATATAAACATTGAGGCCCCATCTTGACATCGTTCAATTCAGTTCTTTGTTTCCCCAACGTCTATTTATTTCCTCTTCCATCCATCCACCCTAGCAAACAATTTTTTTTTTTTTTTGGAGAAATTTTCATTGAAAAAAATGTCATCTCCGTACATATCAGTTCCCATCGGTCTTGGCACCGAACCTATTTCACCTCCCCTTTCTCCCCCCAACGAATGCTCAATCGGAAGCTCTTCTTACCACTATGGCGTGAACGAGTCAGGTTTACCTCACGAGGGGTCAAAGGTTTCGGCGCAAGATTATTCGATGGCATCAAAAGTAGAGATGGGAGGACGTAACTCGAATTCGAATTCAACTCCGATAAACCGTTCAAATAGGAATCGAATCAAATTCTGCGATATCCCAGCTGAACTCCTGGAACTCATCAAGGCCTCAGAGATTCAGAAGAATGGAAAGCTCTCCTTCTCCCATTTGACTGCGATCATTGCGGCAGGAAATTCGCCTGTGAGCTCCGATACTACGGGTAATACAAAGGATATAAACAGCATTCCACCTACTACATCAATTTCGGTGGATGTACTCACCGCATCCCCCAACAATGATCGTGTGACATTGGCTCCCGTTCGAGCACAATCCGAAACAAATGCTGATAGCAAAGGTTCTATAAAGAATTCTGCGGAGAAGCGCCGCAGAATCAGGAAAAATCCTTATCCCAAGAAATCACCGTCGAGATCTTCGCCAGGAATAACATTTCATGTGGACATCTTCACGCCGCTCAAAGAGAACCCCAAGGCACTATTGTTCGGCGATGACACGCCATTGCCGCAAGATTATTCGTCACCTTCATTTTTCTCCGACGACATGTTTTCATCCTCCGAATCAACATCGGAAGGAAATTCGAATTCCCGCCTTCGAACCTCCACCAGAAGACAACGAATTAAGGGTAAGCCTAAGACCAAGAGAGCAAAAGGTCATGTGTCCGAGCGTAAACGCAAGGGTAACAGTCTCGCAAGGGTGATGGAGGATCGAGGCCTCCTGGAAGCGACGTTGACACCCACCGCCACGATCGGGGAGAACAAGCCAATTCGCATTCCACCTCCACCTCAGATGCAATTTGATAAATTGATGGAAAACATTGAAAATTTAAATCTGAGCACGGACATGCTAGATAGGACCACTCCGAAGATTAATTGGAAAGGTCAACCTCTGTCCATCTCACACTTGCCGCATTACAATGCCTTGCACTCCAAGGAAGCTCATGTCGCGTCAACGTTGCGCCTCACCCCCATACAATACCTGACATCCAAAAATACATTGGTTTCATCGGCTCGGAGGTATATTCAGAAATCGCTACCGTTTCGAAAGAGCGATGCGCAAAAGCTACTCCGGATTGATGTAAACAAAGCTAGTAAACTCTGGGAATTTTTTATGCAAGTTCAATGGATCTAAGTATTAAATAAGCATGACAAGTTAGCATCATCCTTAATTCTTTAATGTGTAAATCACGCATTGACAATTAATCTCGAAAAAAAAAAAAAAAAGAAGGAAAAAAAAAAGAAAACAAAAAAAAAAACCCGTGCGGTAGATTTGTAAATAAACATGCTAATTAGAATCCTTTTTCTCATCGTTGATATCTATGTGAAATTCCTGTATACCTTGAACTCTTGATACAAAAAAAAGAAATAAAAGGATATACATATAACATGCAGTCAATTTCCATGCGTTTGTCCATTTAATAACGCACGCACGTGAATTTCGACCACAATTCTTTCGCTCACGGCGAGAGCCGGCGAATTCACCCAGCGACCCACCACCCACCACGTGCGTGCCCACGCTTGCACTCCAGGCTCCCTCGGTGACATTCCTCTCGAGCGGATGCACGTAAACTTAAGGTGGATGGCATCGATGATACGTAATGTTGTCAAAAATGTTTAGTTTATTATATGGCACGTATCATTCAAAAAATAATAATCTTATTAAATAATAAACAAACAATACCACATTTCACCGAGCTAGCGTGCACATAAAGCGTCACACAAATAAACGTCACATATAATTATATAACCTTGATCAGCCGTTTACCAATTATGGAAAATCAAAGCGTGAAGGTAATCCAATAAAGGGGCAGAGTTACATGGCTAAACCTTTCCACCAACAAAAGATTATCACATTTTGGGGGCACAAGATTCCTTGCGAAAAAAGTCGGTAGAATGAATTTTTTGCAACCATCCTCCGTATTGCGTGTAACGTGAGACTCTCTTAGTAATGAGGTAAAAAATTCCTTATAAAATTGGAGCAAACCGAAACCGTGTGCGCGCGCGCACTCACTATGGCCCTTAAATGTATAAGCGGGGGGTTCACCTTTGAAACATCGTCGCCCATCGGTAAATTTAAAGTCCATCAATGGTTGGTGTGCAAGGGAAGATGCACCTTGGAATTGAACCGAATCGAACCGGTTTCTGAGATCGGTTCTTGACCATTGTGGACAAGTTGAATTATTTAGTTTCCTCTTCCTTAGCCAAACTTGGTTGGAGGATTGCTGTAAACAAGTTTTAATGAGAAAAAAGGTAATATCAAAGAAGAAGATTATTCATTCATTCCCAGCATTCCTATAAATGGCACACAGCATTGACCTTTTTTATCAGCGCTCGCACTTTACACTTCGTCTCGAGCTAATTAATAAACATTGGGTCTGGTGCACGCCATTACTAATTCGGTGAATCAACATTGGTTACCCGAAATCTTTTTATTTGATCTGATAAGCCACATATGGTATGCGGAATTTAAAAATGTAAGGTTACATTCCATAGCGCGGTTTTTCAGAAAGGCGATCCATGTATTTTTTTGGAAAATTCAATAATCTCCGATTTTTTTGTTATTCCCTCCTACGCCCCATTTTGTGCGTGTCATTTGAATTCATTGTTGGCGCAGCATCAAAAAAAAAAAAATAAAAATAAAAAATCGGCGGCGGTAAGGCGCAATGTCCGTAACATAATGTTTGGCTTTTGTGATGAAGAGGGCAGTTCGACGTCGCGATTCCTTTTCCTGCCGAATACCTTCTTTTGTTAAAAAATTTCTGTAGAATGATGACCCTTGTCGATTCTTTCGGATGACATAAATCGAACACCGCAGCCAAATGTAAACAAACAATCATCACTGGGATTGGGAAAATTCCATTTTTGTGATTGGGTCATCATGGTCCTCCAATGGTGCATCACTTTCTACACCACAGAGTTCATTGAATGCCGAAATCATCAGAGGGCTGAATAATCTAAAATCAAGCGATAAATAAAGTTCCTCTTGAGCTACATTAAATGCACCTCCGATTACCTTTCACCATTTCCCAATTCATCCTTCCTGGTAGCACGAGCGTACACTAATTCGGCGTAAGCCTTTGAGAAAGCACGCATGCGCATATGGTATGGCACGAAACTAGTTTAATTTCAGGGAAAAACGGAATGAATGGCGGACGTCACTTTATCAATCGTCTTCATGAGGCAAAGCAAACAATATAGAGGTGGAGAAGGAGGTGGTGGAGGTGGTGGTGGGTTTGGGTTATTTCGAGATTTGTAAACATTCGGTATATTCGATTGCGTAATACGAATGGTGGGATGATCGTTTCAGCGTTTGTCATCTCGAGGTGAACAAATCAAATTCAAACATCGAATATTTATTTTATTTATTTGTTATTTATTTTTCTCCAAATAAACCCAAATCACTTATCTTCAAGAAATAAGGGTACACCTGATGGTCTCGGAACGAAAATTGACGGAATTTAGAATACATTTCTTTTTTTCTATAACATTTTATTGCTCTCCGTGTGACGCAAATATCCATCGTCATAGTGATGGATTTGATGATCGAGCAAACATTTGCTACTTCCGGTATTACGTGCAACGCGTCGTTCGTGGGCAAAATGCGTGGGCGATTGTATGCAAGGAACCGACGTAATGCACTGCGAATATTTGTGGACATACAATCGATTTGTTGTCTGACGCATTCCTCCTCCTCCTCCTCCTCCTCGTTCACCCCGAAAATATTTTGATAGTCTTGTCAGGCATTGAGATGGTAATAATAGAGTTTTGCGAGTCACAATGGCGAGGACGATTTGGGACTTGCACGGTGAAGAAATAAATGTTCTTAAAGTTTCAGGAATAAATTCTAGTCGCCCAATCACGTCGATCATCCTAACGCAGAAAGGCAAGTTGGAATTAGTTCTAGGTTGTCAATATGCACAACCTATTTCCTTTTGTATTCAGTAAAAGACATTGAAATCCACGATTTGAGGGATTGATCTCAAACGAGAAGGATCGACATCGTTGCTCGAATGAGTCATGAAAAAGATTTGGTAATCCCGATAAAGAATTATCTTATTCGCAAGGCGTCCCTTCCATTTCGGGTAGGATCGTAATTTTACCCGGAGATGATCGACAAGGGTATATTGAGGCACCACGCGAACATTGATTTATTCACCAATCAATGCGTGATGCAAATTTCGGAAGAAACCCTAGGGAAACATACAGTACGTACAGTGCATATTATTTTAATTCAAGGTAATGGTACCTTGTGTTTGTTTCGGAGACACATCGCTCATAGAGTAAAACTGTTTCCTCCACTCTCGCATCCAGTCGACACCTTATTTTCCTTGTGTCGAAATTCTTCACAATGAAAAATCTCGAGCACATCGTCACACAAACTCGACGCATGTGCATTCAGGATGCGAGTGAGCGTAAGCGGCTTTGGAGAATTGCGTTTGGGGGGGAAGTTCCGAAAGGGTCGAAGGTATGCAACGAATTTTGGAACTCTTCAAAGACAGGTTCGCAATAATGAATGCGGTAATTAATGGTATGGTAATAGCGATAAAATAAAACACATACAGTACATACAGTAAATACGGTAAATTAAAATGAAATATTAATAATGAATTGTTTCTCGAAGTTTGCACCCAAAAAGACAAATGTGATTTTGGAATCGGCGATCACATCGCTAATAACGAACCATGTTTATTGTGTGATGGTGATGGAGCAATTTCCAAATGTCATGGAAAAGCGTAGAATAATCATGATAAGCACAATCTCGTTATTGATGATGAGAACCACTACCATATACAGTATGTCATCATGTCATTCCTGCATCACGATGCAACCTTTGGATTCCAAATGGGCGCTGATTCTGGTCTCCATTCGTGGATCTATTCATCGAGTCTTTTATGGATTAGCGAGGGACCTCTAATTCTCTTCCTCAAACCTTAACAGAGCATCAGAATGAATCCGTAAACTGGTTCATTCGAGTCACTCCACTAATCACCAAATCAAATTCTCTTTATGCAAAAAAAAAGGAAAGAAACGAATGAAAGAATGAAATTGAAATGAAATTATTAATAAATTACAAATTTTTTATGTAGTGCAAAAAAAAAAATGTCCAACCAAATTTCCAGGTACAGCTCGACGTTTTAACCCTTGAACTTTTGGAAATTCTGATTGGCCTGTGGACAGTTACGTAACCGCTTTAAAAATGAATTGGTTTTGTCCAAGATCTTCTGGATGACGTACACGGTTAGAGCGATCGTTTTAGGAAAAAACAAATAACGTTCGTCTTCAAACAATGTTTTAAAAAGAATTTCCAATGAGAGTTGCATCCTTCCTTCCTTCAACTTCACGCATTCGTGTGCCTCGCATCCTCCCCCGTGTAAATTAATGGTGCATACGTTCCAACCCCTTTATTTCACCTGGAAGCTTCCGGTTTGGTTCAGAAGGTGAAATGGAAAAATAAAATTAACGTATTCTCATTGATGGTAATAGGGTGATCGTGCTTACTATGAAGATGAGTAAGTGATGTTCGCAGAATGAAGTTGAGTGTGTCATAGTTGAGGGATTTTATTTGTTTATTCCTTCAATGACTTGCGTGATCACGGACAATCCTTGGAATTTCGGGAAAGTGGAAAAACCCAGCACAATTGGATCTTCCCGATTCAAACTTCATTGATCCATAAAAATACGATGGTTTTTTTTTTTTTTTTTTTTTTTTTTTTTTTTACGCGTCCACAAGAGAAGTCAGAAGGTTGCAACAGGATCAGAGAGACGACCGACCAATTTAGATTAATTGGCACGACCTGAGGTCAAACTATTCGTCAATGATGCGACGTAGAAAGAATATTGCGAGTTCGTTTCACCCGACCGATCCACATGGTACCTGATCAATGCGTAAGATCGACACCGGCTGTCATTATAGTTAGGATCGATCACTCGACTTTGTCATTCCTCCTTTCAATGGCATTCGCTAATGAATGAGTGTAGCGGAGTAAATCCTTATTCATCAACTCTCGTAAAATAGGCAATTAACCTGGTTAGCTTGATAACAGGGACACGAATCCGGTGGCCCCTCGCGTTTCGTTTCGCATCCGAATTGTCGAAATCGACACCGTGAACTCTCGCAATTCCAGCACCGTGATACGAGGGAAATTAGAGACGGTCGTCTTGGTCTCTGATTCGTTATGGGTCAATCAGATATATCTCGTAATCAGAACTTTTTTTTTTTTTTTTTTTCTTCAAAGAATCAGACCTTCCATTTTTCACGTGAGTTCACGTGACAATGATTCGGAAAGGCCGATCTCTATGAAAAAAATGTTTTGCCGGCAATGCGTTTACGGAAATCATTGAACGTGAGGGGGAGGACCAGGGATTCCCTCAGTAAAAGAGACAAAGAAAGAAAGAGCGAACCAAAAAGATGATGTTCAACTCCGTTACAGCATCTCGGGTGGTCCGCGACACGTTACGCCAAGATTCACCGCTAAATTGGAGATCTTCATCCCGCATTACGGCATTACGATAAACCCGAAGCTTCACTTATCATGTGACACTTCACAAAGGAATCGAATCAGTCGGAGATAAAGACGAACTTTCGTATCCCGAGGGGAGAAACTGACCATGAACGAATCCGGTTGTGAACTTTTTTTTTTATTGTTGTTGTTGTTGTTGTTTTTGTCGTAGTCGATTTGAATCGCTGACCTCGTAAAAATAAAAATAAAAATAAATGAAATTAAAAATAAAATAAAATAAAGAAAAGATCACGATGGATTTATGGGAAATGATACATGGTCACAATGACACTGCCTTAAGGATAAATGAATGAATAAATAAATAAATTCTTTTGACTTTATGGTTGCGCCACCTGGCATGTCCCCAAAACGTAGACCGGGACGCCGACGAATTTGTTATTCAATGCAGGATGACATAATCAGTTGTACCTTCTTTTTCTTTTTCCTGATTCCCTACTTCTCTGATAAAAAGAATTTTATTCCGGAATTAATATTGCTTGATACAGACATTTCTTTATCGTGGAATACAGGCCAGCCTCGTAAACAAAGACACCGACCTAGAACATAAATGGACTTTTTTTTTTTTCTCCCTCACCCCCACCCCCCCCCCTCTTTCTCGTCACCGCATGCGAAAGAACGACACTCGGAAAGGAGCAAAAACAATTGGTCCAAGAATGGTAGAACCTCAAGGATTTTGCTTTATCTCAGTGGTGCGTCGAAACAATAACAAACGCTTGAATGGATGTACCGTGCCTTCGATAGTGTGCGACCAATTGTCTTCGACGTTATATCCAATTCTCACAAGAAAATTAGTTTCCTTATAGAGTTTAAATAAGATATCTATGCTTGCCTTCACCTGTTGCTTTTTTTCTTTTTGCTTTTGGGAAAGGGGAAGGGCGTTTCATAGGGATTCGATGGTATCACGAAGGACAACGTGAGCCAGTGAAATATAAAGTTCGGAAAACTTCAGGGCATCAATTTATGAATCCTATGGCACACACGGATATCGCGTGCATCGTTAGTATG